CATCAGATCACCAAAGAAAGCGTTGTGCGCTAGGGGAGCGTTTGGCTTTGTGGGTTTCGGGGCTCCGGTGAAGTTCTGAAGCTTGCGATCGCTCTTCGACAGCTCCAAGAATAGCGAACCAGCCGCTTGGATAATCTGTCTGGGGGCCCGTGGGTCTTTCAATGCACCCCCCTCGATGACAGTGCGCATTTGCACAGTCACGGGCATGATTGCAAACCAAAGCTCGAGTGGAAACGCCTACGGACAAGGCAACGACTGCCGACGTCCATGCGGTATGTGAGCGATAACTCATGGCACTGCGTTTGCCGACATGGGAGGGTGGAGCGACGTTTTGCAAATGGCCATATTGCAATCGAACGCGTGTTTATAAGTACTGCATAGATGCATGCATACATCGTCACTTCCTAGACTTCTTCGCTGCGGGCGCAGGCGCATCCTCAGCTCTGCGCTTTGGCATAAGCGATGCCAGCAGTGCGATCAGCGCGTCTCCCTTCGCGACGTCGCTTTTGTTGGTCAGCACCTGCACAGACACAGACGGCATCACATCGGACTTCAAGGTCACGACCTCCACGTTTGCATTGAGTTCGGGGGTCGACTCCTGCACGAACCAAAATGGAATGACTCAGGAGCCAGGGGCCTTTGCCAGCCCCCCTACACCCGTATTCGCCTGCGCCGCGGGCATCTTCATGCCACCAGTGGGGAGCAGCGCGATGTTGAAAATGGTGCCTTTGAGGTCCTCGTACGAATTCACAAACGCGCTCCCGTTTGGTGAGTCTTCGTTGGATTTCTGAATGGCGATGTTCGCGGTGGGTGGGACAAGCGCTATTTCTCCTGCTTTGAACGCACGCGTGGCAGTGATAGACCGATACTGAACAGGCGATGTTACGCCAGTGATGCCCTTCAAGCAATCTGAATGCTGGGCGTACATGTCGCCCAAGGCGATTCTGATTTTCGCCTCCTCAATTGTCAGCTGCCAGTCGACGCTCATCATGGGGCCGTGGTCAGCAAATTTTTTCGATTATTTGCTGGGAGGGCTGGGGGGGGGGGGGGGGGCACGCGAGAGGCATATCACTGGATGGGCGAATGGAGTGTTAAAATACATAGAGCGGGGGACACGTAGACAGAGAGCGAGCGGGGGAACGAGAGAGAGATGGGGATACTGATATATGTATAGAGATGGGCCGACAGATGAAATAGAGGACGGGTGTATATATAGAGAGAGAGAGGTGTCGTCAAAACAATTGAAGGTCGGGTTGCGACGAGATCGCATGTTGCCCTAGCTGTCTTTAGTCGTACTCAAGACGTACTTCCCATTTAGCATCTCGTCAATGCTCTCAACCACTGTCTTACTCCCGATCATCAACTTCACACCCTTCGCATCGACCCCAACGGACTCGAACGCGCTGTCCCTGTCGTCACCCTTCGCCAAGCAGGGCTTTGCTTTCGACACGAAGCCTCTCTCCGACAACTTATCTGCCTGGTTGGACCATGCGCCTGTCGCAGTATACTCCTTCACACCCGAGCTTGTAGCCGTTTTGGGCGCTGCTGCAGGGGCGGCCTTGACCTCCCATGGGCTTTCCATTGGTTTGCCCACATGCGTTGCCAACGCAGTACAGAAGCTGGCGCCAATATCTGGCAACGTTTTGGCGCTGCCCAATCGTTCATCTGGTTTGTTGAATACGAAGTACACGACGCGAACACCTATCAACCCTACGATGGTGCCGTATGCGAGCGTGTCTGGCGTAATGCTTTGGTTTTTTGTTGCGATCTCTCGCACCCTCTGCAAGAACTCATCCGCATGCAGAACAATTGTAGCCTTCTTGTCACCAGACAGCGCGGACACGTCACCTGGCCTTAAGAGCATATGATGGCCGTCCCTGGCGTACTTGCCACTCGCGGCCGCCATGGCTTTCATGCGTGCGAGTTTGAATGTCACCGCAGCCCCCTCGTTTTTGATCTTTACTTCGGCGAGGCTCTTCGCCGTGGCGCCTGTGACCACGCGCTGGGCAGTTAATTGCCGTGAGAAGTCCCGCAATTGGTTGAGGAAAATTGGCTCGCCCAAACCACCCGACATCTCTGTCGCATACGTTACCAATCCGTCGATTTCCCCAGGGAAGAGGGAACCCGCGCGAGTCGCCTCTTGAATGGCCCTCGGCCAATCGATCTTGCCTCCTTGGTTAGCCAAACGGTTCGCAATGGATGCGATCTTGAACTTCAGGCTCAATCGGGACTCGCAGCGTGCGATCTGTTGTCCCGCGTTGCCTGCTTCCTTGGCAAGGTTTGAAATCCAAGGGAACGCTTTGACAAATCCATACCGAAAGACCTTCCATTCAATGCCCTCATCGCGAGCCTTTGCGTAGTCGGGCTGCGCTTCTCTCAACCTCTTCACTGAAAGAAACCCATCTTGTGAATGCTGTCGAGTCGTTCTGGATCTTCCTGCGGCAGGGGAACTTCTGCATATAAACAGCACAACCCCATGCTCGTATGTCCACACGTGTAGCTTGCGAATTTAGCTTCGCATTCATATGGAGGCATTTGGCCAGCAGAATCTTTCATTATCTTATCGTTGAGCGCTTTGACCTTTTCATATTCCGCCGAGCCTGTTTGAAATTCCATGCGCACTAGATTTTGAAGGGCCGAGTTCTTGAAACCGTTCCTGAATATTTTTACGATGAACCCCATCCCCATACCTGTTTTCCATACACACGAACATGTATTTGCTATGAATCCTCTCCATCCTGATGCAATCGATGCCAGGCCCCTGCGCTATGGCGCATACCTCTTCGAACAAAGAAACAACGGGGGCGTCTGGCTGCTCATGCGCAGCCTTGATTGCATGCGTCTCCCCAACAACATTCTGCATGTTCAGTTCACGCTTGGAGGTCATGACGCCTCGCGCGGAAACCACCTCTGTTGAGCCAAAAGCTTATACGGCGCATGCATATTTATATATATATATATATATATATATATATATATAGATGCAAATGAACATTGCAATCTTGCAATAGCACCCTTCGAAATTCACGAATGCATTGCGCCGATCGCACTCGCATGGGGGGGGGGGGGGTCAGGCAACACCCTAGCAACGCCATGCCGAAACAAAATAGCAACATTGAAAAAACTTTAACACCAGGGAAACCAGCCTACACGTCATCGTTTTCCAACATACGTTAACAGTTAGCAGAGTTGCTAACTTTTCTAACTCCGCGTAATTATACTTAAATAGAGGGACCAAGTTAGCGAGATTAGTAAGTTCATAACCTAGTTATAACAAATCATACTTATTTGTAACAGACTTATAACATAGTTATAACATGGTTATAACTCACGGTAACACTCATTAACCACGCCGATCCTTTAGGCGGGGTTCCGCGCAGGTGTCCCGGGGCTCGCGCTGGTTCCGCGTCCCGGGTCCTGCGCCCGCCCCGGGTCCCGGGTCCCACGGCGGTCGTCCTGGCCGGGTCCCGGGTTCCGCTCTGGTCCCGGGTCGCGGGTCCCGGGTCTCGCGCCGGTCGGGTCCTGGGACGATCCCGGGTGCCGCGGCAGGTCCCGGGTCCCGCGCCGGTCCCTGGTCTCCGGTCCCGCGCCGGTCCCGGGTCGCGGGCCCCGGGTCCCAGGGCCGGAAAAACGTCAGCCCGCGTCACCTCGCGTGAATCCCCCCCCTCGCCAGAGCGGGTCCCGCGCCGGTGCCGGCTCCTGGGGCTCGCGCCGGTTCCGGGTCCCGGGTCCTACGCCCGTCCCGGGTCCCGGGTCCGGCGATCGTCCCGGCCGGGTCCCGGGTTCCGCTCCGGTCCCGGGTCGCGAGTCCCGGGTCTCGCGCCGGTCGGGTCCCGGGGCGATCCCGGGTGCCGGGTCCCGGGTCCCGCGCCGGTCTTTGGTCTCGGGCCCCGCGCCGGCCCCGGGTCGCGGGTCCCGGGCCCCGGGCCCGGAAAAACGTCAGCTCGCGTCAGCCCCCCCCCCCCTCGCCAGAGCGAAGCTTGAGCGAGCTCAAGCCCACGCTCTCAGGAACTCACACGCCGGATCGGCGAATTTGTCTGTGGGCAGTCAGGGCGTCAGGCGCACGCACACAACTCACGCACACACACACACACACACACACACACACACACACACACACACACACACTCTCACTACGCACGCACGCCGCGCGCTACGCACGCACGCACGCACGCACGCACGCACGCACGCACGCACGCACGCACGCACGCACGCACGCACGCACGCACGCACGCAAGCACGCACGCACGCACGCACGCACGCACGCACGCACGCACGCACGCACGCACGCACGCACGCACGCACGCACGCACGCACGCACGCACGCACGCCGCACGCACGCACGCACGCACGCACGCACGCACGCACGCACGCACGCACGCACGCACGCACGCACGCACGCACGCACGCACGCACGCACGCACGCACGCACGCACGCACGCACGCACGCACGCACGCACGCACGCACGCACGCACGCACGCACGCACGCACGCACGCACACACACACACACACACACACACACACACACACACACACACACACAGACACACACACACACATGCTTTTGCGTCGCGGTCCCGCGCGCGGCGACGGGGCGTAGAACGTCAAGTCCAAGCGGCGGAACGCGCGCGTCTACGACCAACACACGCACACACATACTTTTGGGTCGTCAGCGGGGCAGCGCAGCGCCTGCACGTCCAACAGACCGCGGCCGCGGGCGCGGCGGCAAGAAAGGCAAGATACACACACGATTGAAAAACTGACAAGGCCAACCAGAATTAGGACGACCAGGGGCCAGGAAGACAAGTGAAATATGGGATTAGGAAGGGGAGTAGTGACGAGCGATGGCGGACAGCCGAGGGAGACAGACGGACGGGCGCGACAGGGCCGATTGACGGAGGAGGGGGTTGGCGAGGTGAAAGGAGGCACAACACACTGCAAGGGCAAGGCAAGTCACGGAGGGGAAGGAGCCAGCGGACGAGGGAGGCGAGGGAGGAATGAAGGATGCACACTACACACGTACACACAATTGATACGGAGAATTGTGAGCATGACACGGCCGTTTGCTGGAGGAAGACCTGACAAAAGTCGAGCGCTTGGCGAGCGGAAGGCAGATGGCGTCAGCGTTGCATTGTGCGCGCGCGCGTCAGCGGGGGCAAACGTTGATGGCGATTTGGACGTTACTTGGTGATTGTGGCGCTGGCTTCGTGCAGGTTATCACGGGTCGGCCTCCCCAGCGGACCGTTTTGCACAGTCAGCTAATAATTTGAGATTGCTTTTTATCCACCAGAGTGAGTTGACGTTCATGCGCCGCGGTTGCGCTCGATTGTGGATATTTGTTCGAGCAGACATGCGGCATGCAGTATCATAATGTGGCCGTGCACGTGTTCGTCGTGCGCCAAATGGTATGCGCCTTTCAACATTCAACGTCGTTCCAAGTGGTTGGCCTAGTCCACAATCGCCCCGAGGAGAGGAAATTGAAAGACGAGAAGGATCATATTGCACGCACTATCTCTCTTACGCCCTTCACCTTGGGGTTGCATTAGGCGGGTGCGTGCAAGTCAGGGTTACACGCTTGACGATGTAGTTGCCGTTATTGTTTTCACATGTGTTAGTTTCATCACACCTTGGGTCTTGCGCGTGAGATACTTCTGCTCCGCTCTTCCGCAGATCCCAAAATGGAGTTGTTCTTATCATTGGCACGCATCCGCCTAACCTTCCCGCATTCTTCCTCTCGCATCGCAAATAGACGCGCATACGTCCGCTCGCTAACACCCAGACTCACTCACCACTCACACTCAGACTCACCGTCTGCTCCGAGGTTTTTACTTGAACGGCGAGTAGCCTTGCTTGCCCAAGCTCACGCAGGAACCCGATCTTGCTGCAGGAAGCGCTCCGCGCTGGCACCTCTGGCCTCTGGCTGGCTCGAGCGTGTCGTTGCTGGCAAGGTGGACAGCTCCGTGGGTGCTGAGCAGCCCATTCCCGACAGTGTCATGGTAGCCGTTTGCGACACCGACAGTTATATGGATTGGCTTCATCTGGGGGGCTGCGTCCGCCCCTGTCTATTGGGCCCTCATGCCTGGGTAATGGCAGGGGCGACATTTGGGTGGTATTACCAAAAGGTCCCAATCGCTTTTTGGGACACGCAGCTCAAATCACAACTTTGGTACGGTTTCGACGTGCACACGCATTTGTATTTTATAAAATTCATTTTAACATAGGCGAACTGGCTAGGACACTTGTAGGCGAAATGAGTCACGCCATCGCACAGTAAATTCTCGCTTCCATCGTTCTTTTCTGCTTTGGAGGCGGCCGTATATAGATTTTGTTGTTTCAACATCCGTAGACTGTGCTTGGCAAGCTGAACGCGTTGTTGTTAGCACAGGGTTGGCAATAAACATCAGTCGGATGACCCGTCCCTGGTGGCAGACAGCCAGAGGTTCGGTTTGCTGTGTCGGGTTCGAGCGCGTCTTCAATGTACATAACGCAAGCGCTTGCTTGTCAAGATGATTTCGATGGCGTTGTGTGGCTGGCCTTGTTTTCGTTTGTTTTGCTCCCGAGTCTGATCGCGTTGTGCGGTGCCCTCAGTTGCTTTGGTTCAGGGCCCTCAACAACAGAGAGAAAACGGCACCCGTCAAGTCACGGGCGAAAATCAGTATCCTCTTCGGGGCTTTGGAGGCACGTTTGGGGTCATCTTGAATGACATCGAGCAGCCAGAGGGAGTGTTTTAATTAGCTTGCCCCCACACCCCCTCGAGCCCCGCGAGCCATCCGGGCCCTCTTGGGGCGCTCTTGGGACGTTCCCGGGCACTTGGGGGGGCCGTTTTGGAGATATCTGGGGTCCTTCTGGGGACACCAGGGGCTCTCTTTGTCCATCTTGGAGCCATCGTGAAGCCTCGGAAGGCTGTTGCCAGCGAAAGGGGGGGAAAATGCATAGGTTTTTGATGTCCTTACTTTGTCTGGGAACTTGGCCGCTCGCGCGTTGGACCCTGGATTTTGGGAATGAGGACGCGGCCATGGTGGATTGGAAACTAGATTAGACTTTTAGCGGTCGCCACGCGGCTTTCGGGCGTGACGCGCGTCGCCCGCGCGCGCATCAGCGCGCCTGTATGGCAGGCTCGTGCACAGTGGAAGTGCATAAGTCGCCACCTTTGCGCGGGAACTCAAATATTACATTTTCGCGCCCAAAGTCTTTGATAATTTAGCATGACGTTTTTGCGCCCCCTTTGTATGCACCGAGCGCGCAGGACATGGGCGGTGCGCGCGCGCGGCGGTGTCTTCACCGGGTGGGAACGCATAAGTCGCCACGCTGTCATAATAACTAGCGTTTTGCATTGGCGCGCAAGAAAGCTATTGTTGATATTCGCACGCGCAGTGGCTCGCACGGCCATCCTGTACATAGCCGTACAGACTCATCAAGCCATATTGCTTTGAAAGCTGAATGGTTCCATGTAGTGACTGTCGTCCGTTCCCGATGCCAACTTAAGCGCGGTTTCCACATGTACACGAGGTGCCCAGTGCACAGCGGGCGCGCGTGGCGGCGCGTGCATGACGAGGTCTGCCTCGTAGGAATGAAGAAGTTCGGTTGTCTGGTAACCGAAGTACGCCTTTAACGAGCGCGGCCCCGACTCGCAACTTTAAGTGTGTGTGTGTGTGTGTGTGCGTGTGTGCGTGTGTGTGTGTGTGTGTGGGTGTGTGTGTGTGTGTGTGTTTCCGCAGTTTCGCCAAGAGAAGCACGGTGCAACGCGCTCGGCGGCGTTTCCATGGCAAGCGCTGCGTTGTCGGCGCGGTCAAGTTGCCAACTTGGCTTGGAAGCACAACCGGCGCCCAGGTTTGCGATCCTGGATGTCAGCTGGGCGCGAGGCGTTTTCAATCCGGCACGAGGAGCTACGCGCGCGGCGTCGACCGCGCAGCGAGGTCCGCGGTTCTCAAATCAAGAGTTCGCCTCGCGGGTCTGGGGGCTGACATTGGCATTTGGCGCGCGTTCAATTCCCATTTTCGACTTAGCGCGCTGTTGTCCTAAGCCAATCGCGCGGCGAAATGCGCGACGCGCAGACGCGCGCGCGCGGCGACACGCGCGCGGCGACTTCTGGGCGTCGCCGCGACGCGCTCAAGCCGCGCATCGCCTGGAAAAAGCGCCGAAGATGCCGCGCGCCGCGCGGGTTGCCTTGAGCGCGCGGCCAATGGCGACGACAGCGCGAACTGCGTAGACGGCTTGGCGCGCGCGAGGGCACGGCGAGGCGCGCGCGCCGCGGGCGAGAGCACTCCCACGCATCTTTTCTGGACCCATGGCGGCGTGATGGTTCGGTGTCCAGGAGCTGCGCTTCGGTCGCGCGCAGTCGAAAGCACGCCCCCGCATCGGGGCCGCCGCGAGCGAGGCGGCCCCGTGGAAGGCGGGTTCGACTGGTTCGCCAGGGGGCGCGCGAACTGGCTGGAGATGCTGTTGACGCTGGCCGAGGAGGCGCTGCGGGTCGCGCATGCTCCGCTGGCGTGCAGCGCGCGAAGCGGAGGGACGGCGGTGCAGTTGGCATCGCGCACGGGCGCGCGGCCTCGTGCGGCCTCGTGCGGCCTGTCGCGGCCAACGAGAGGGCGCGTTTGTCCGCGCGCGTTCGAGCGCCCTGGACGGGGGAACCACAGGAGTCTCGAGAGGGCTTCGTCGCGCAACGCATAGGAGTAAAATGCATTTTCGTGGCGCCGGACATTCCGCGCACAGGAAAAAAAAGCCCCTCAGGACACTCGAGACACCTCGCGCGCCCAACTTTTTTTTGAGGCCGAAACTGCGACGTCGCCATTTGGGCTCGAAACTGCGACGCACGTTTCATTACCTAACAGCGAAGACTGATAGGTTTCTAGTGGGGTCAAAAGAGAGCAGCAGATGACTCCACAGGGGGGTCTGGGCGGGTGCCGGACAGGGTGCCGCAGAAGTCGTTTTAAGCCAACAGTCACACACTTCGTGCTCTTCGACCTCCCAGAACTCCATTCCCGGGCCACATTCTGAATGCCCGGAGCCAACTGTAGGCCACTTCGTGCTCTTCGACTTCCCAGAACTCACATTCCCGGGCCACATTTTGAATGCCCGGAGCCAACTGTAGGCCACTTCGTGGTCTTCGAGTCCCCAGAACTCCATTCCCGGGCCACATTTTGAATGCCCGGAGCCAACTGTAGGCCACTTCGTGCTCTTCGAGTTCCCAGAACTCCATTCCCGGGCCACATTTTGAATGCCCGGAGCCAACTGTAGGCCACTTCGTGCTCTTCGAGTTCCCAGCCAACTTACTGTAGGCAACTTCGTGCTCTTCGACTTCCCAGAACTCCCAATTCCTGGCCACATTTTGAATGCTGAGGCAGGCTGATGCTGCGGTCGAGGCAGGCTGGGGCTGAGGCAGGCTGAGGCTGAGGCCGAGGCTGAAGGCAGACTGAGGCTGAGGCTGAAGCAGGCTGAGGCTGAGGCTGAGGCAGGCTGAGGCTGAGGCTGAGGCAGGCTGATGCTGAGGCAGGCTGAGGCTGAGGCTGAGGCTGAAGCAGGCTGAGGCTGAGGCAGGCTGAGGCTGAGGCCGAGGCTGAAGGCAGACTGAGGCTGAGGCTGAAGCAGGCTGAGGCTGAGGCTGAGGCAGGCTGAGGCTGAGGCAGGCTGAGGCTGAGGCTGAGGCAGGCTGAGGCTGAGGCTGTGACTGCGACTGCCGTTGCCGCTGCGACTGTCATCGCGAATGCGACTACGACTGCGAGAACAGCAGAATTCTACAACTGGATTTTCATCTGAATCTTAAGGGGAATGCTTTCAGATATGCTTCTACACATCGCTGTTAGGTTGCTTTGCCGGGATAATTTTCTTCCGAAGCTGCGACGTACGTTTCATTTTTCTTCCGAAACTGCGACGTCGAAGAAAAACAAAATCCACCTCGTGCTCGAACGCTAGGACGCACTTTAGGAAAAACCTCCGAGTGCCCGGGGGGGCCCTGGCACCCGGGGGGGCCCTGGCAGTTTTTTCTCCCCATCACCCGCCCTGCGGGGCGGGCGGCTGCGTCGAGCCACCGGGGGGGGGGCGCGGGGGCCCGCGTGGGAACCGTGCTGGTGGCTGCGGCCACCCGCAGCAGCGCCTATACGCGCCCGGGCGCGCCCTGGCGCTTCTGCCGCGGGTGCCTGCCTGCGCCCGCCCACGCGGTCCGCGGGTGCCTGGTCGCGCCCGTCCGTGCATTGCGCGCGCGCGCCAGACTGCGCGCGCCCGCAGGCCGCAAGTACTTGGCTGCGCCCGCGCGCGCGGGCCGCGGGTGCTGGGCCGCGCCCGCCCGCGCACGCCGCGGGCGCCATGGCGCGCCCGCCCGCGTGCATTACTGGTGGCGCCTAGCGAGGGCGTGCCCTCGCAGACCGCGCAGCCTCGTCAATCCCGAGCGCCGCGAGCCCCTTGAGCTTCGGTCGGTCCAGTGCGTCGCAGGCCCCGAGCCTCGCGCGCCACGGGTGCCTGGCCGCGCGCGCCTGGGCCCCCGACCCACGCGCGC